ATTTTTAATATTTTTTCTAATTTTTATCTATCCTTTTCTCTTCCCAATTTTTTCACTTATTTTCTCTTCTTTTCTTTTTTTCCTTTTCTATCTCTTTCTCTCATGCTCTTTCTCCCACCTTGTTCATCATTTCTCTCCCTTTTTTGTTTCTGTTCCTGTCCTAATTCAAATTTCTTTTTTTCTTACTTTTTCTTTTCTTTTTCTTCTCTCGATTGTCATTAGTTTTATAGGAAAGTGAATACATTTTCTAGCCTCCCTATTGCTGTTAAGTTGTCCTGTTTTTGTGTTGTTCTTTTATTCTGTCTTCTCCTCTTCTCTTCAACAGCTTCCTAGAGTTTGTGTGATCTTCCTCTTCCCTCCAGCCTCACTTCTAACCTTTCCCTATCATACCTATCTATCCCTCCCTCCCCAATTCCTTCTAAGTCCCCATCCTGAAGTGCAAATTTGCTGTGTTGAAGAGTTTATGCACTATTGACATGTTTTGGGCTGGTCCTCCATTTTGACTTAATATGTTTAAAAGCAATAGATTAATAACTACCACAAACTGTCATTTTCTAAACTGTGCTTAACGCTATTGTAGTTGCTGATTGTATCACTTGGGGAAAAGTGTGGTGATTGATGAAATCAGTTGTCCTTCCTGGTATACTGAAAATATGATGGCCTAAGAGTCATTAGAGAGGGATGGGAATTTAGCTCAGTGGTTCTGCTGCCTGCCTCGCAAGCACAAGGTCCCGAGTTCAATCCTCGGTACCAAAAAAAAAAAAAAAAAAAGTCAAGGAACATCTGTAATTCCTTATTTAATTATCTGTCTTCTCTAAGGATAAGAGACCATCCTCAACACTTTGAACATTGCTGGGAATATTAAAGGGGCTAAGAATCTGGGCCAGTGATTCTGAAATTGGAGTTCCACAGTGCCTGGCACGAAAGTAGTGCTGAGATACACATTTTTTTAAAATTCTGAAACAACAAAGAAATTGAAACAGGAAAGCTTCATCTATTTTTCATCAAATATAGATATCTAGCTTCCAACCAAAATTTCATTTGAGATGGAAGGAAGCTCTGTGCTAAAAATTAGGTCTGAAAACCATGATCTTTGGCAACTCTCATTTGCAAGATGAGGAAATTGGCATTCAAAAAGAGACGTTTGTTTACCCCAGGTAACAGAATAAATCTATAGCAGAACCAAGACCAGAAGCCATGCCGCCAGTCTTTAATAGGGGTTATTCCTTCCACCACACACTGTCTTCTCCCTAGCTCTTTTCAGGGCAACATGGGCTCCTTGTGCCCAAAAGGAAGGGTTGTTTTGGATTAAAGATTGGGGGACAGGGGCGGGGATTTAGCTCAGTGGTTTCGCCGCCTACTGCGCAAGAGCAAGGACCCGAGTTCAATCCCTGGTACCAAAAAAAAAAAAGATTGGGGAACAAGAAAGATAACTCTGGCTCCTCCCAGGAAGGGAAAAAGAAGGCAAAAAAAGGTAGCCTCCTCTCAAGTTGACTCTGGAACTCAGGGAGCACTTAAGGATTTTTTTCCCAAAAGAGCCAACATATCAGCCAGGCACAGTGGCACCCACTTGTGATCCCAGCTACTCAGGAGGCTGCATCAGGAGGAGCATAAGTTCAAGGTCAGCCTGGGCAACTTAGCAAGAACTTAGCAAAATCCTAACTTAAAATAAAAAATAAAAAGGACTGGGGAAATAGCTCAGTGGTAAAGTGCCCTGGTTCCCCAGTACTGTGGGGGAGGGAGGGTGACACCTACCTCCCTTAATGTCTCCTCGGCAGGTGTGGCCACAGCTAGGGCTGCAGCATTTATGCCCCTGGGGACAGGATGCATCCCCCATCACACAGCTCCTCACATGGAAGGGGGTCCGAAGGACATTCACCACCAAATCCTGTCACAGAATCAGAGCACTGAGTCACTGAGTATAAAAAGCATTTTTCATTGCGCCCCATATGTATAATGCATACATATTTATGTGCAGCAGGTATATGCAATGTACCCTGATATTTCATACCGTATTTTTTTTTTTTTTTTTTTTTTTGGTACCAGGGATCAAACTCAGGACCTTGCGCTTGCGATGCAGGCAGTGCCACTGAGCAAACTCCACAGCCCCAAATAGCGTAGTTTTTCTAATGCTGGGCATATACTACTAAACTGATTTTAGCACTCACAATTTGAAAAATCACTGTTCAGCTCTACTGTCCTGTGGAAAATATACTAACTGCCAACCCTATATTCATTCTTCCTTGTTTCTTACACTGATAAATGTCTGCGTAAACATCACCTAGCAACAGGCAAGTAAGACACTTATTAATAGAACCCCATGTTTGTTCTGAGAGGCAATTAGTCCAGCTAAAATGATTTGTTCCTCCATATTCTCTTGCAACTAGGAGTGACCACAAATGATGACATAAACTGGGGAAATGTTTGCGCGCCTGATACAAACTGCCCTTTCACCACTTCCTCCAGACCAACAGCAGATATAGAGAGGAAAGGCAGATCAGCCTTCTTTCCATTAGGAAGCACAGTAATAAGGACAAAATTATAGATTGTCGAGGAATAATAGAGAAATAGCTTCCTTTTCAGACCCACCACACCAGCCCTTCGAGATTTCTTGTTAGGTGAGAACAACAACCAACCCCTACATAGTTAATTTTCTGTCATGGAGGGCCAGGGATGTAGCTCAGGGCACCACACCTGCCTGTCAAGAACAAAGTCCTGTGAGTTTGATTCCCAGTACTGGGAGGAAATTTAAAATTCTGTTATATAAAAATTTAAAAAAAAGTTTTAATTCTGTTATGGAAAGCAAAACATATTTCATATATGGCCCTTCAACATCCCTGTGAAGATAATGAAACCCAGAGGAGAGAATGGGCCTTTCCCAGAACTACAGAATGAGTCAACAGGTAAACAGGACAAAACTCAGCCCCTGGATTTGCAGTGAAGGACTTTCAGGTAACTTGGCCAAGTACTCAGGAACAGGCACACCCATAGAAGGCCACATCCCAACCAGTCCAACTCACCATGACTCATTTATCTCAATGTTTATTTCAAGTTTTTAAATGAAGAGAGAAGTGACAAGCAATTAAAAGTTTTATAGAAAACTGAAACAGAACTGGTCCAGTGCCTCTGAGTAGCAACAAGTGAGGATGACTGCCACGTGGCTGGCTCCTGGCAGTCTGCCAAGATGGAAATACCAAGCGTTGAACTCCAAGGAGAACAAACACTGGAGGCTTCACCAGGTCCTGCAAGCTGGCAGTGAAGGACCCGGCTGAGAAAGATTCCCAGGCTTTTGTTCCAGAGCAGGGTCTCAAGAGTCCTGGCAAGGAACACAATCTCCCTTTTTCTCTTATGGGCAGGCTGCCCAAGATAGCTGCCAAAGCCAGGCACAGCAACCCCGGTGGGTACAGAGAAGGGGCCTGCTTCCTGGGGAGACCCGGCTGGAAGTAATGAGGTTGTCTATCTTACAGAGAGGGGAACTGAGGCTCTGAGAAGCAGAAGTGACTTGTCCAGGGACCTGCTGGCCAGTAACTGATAAACTGCAGACTTGAACTTAGGTCTGAGACAATCTAAACCTATACATTTCCACATAACACACTGCCACATGCACTCAGTTGAGAGAATGGCTCTAGTTTCTTCAGAAAACATAATAGAAAACCCCATTTCTGACAGCAGACTAGAAAACAAAATGCCTAGACATAAACTTGAGAAATTTTTTTTCTGATACCAGGAATCAAACTCAGGACTTTGCCAGGCAAGGCACAGCACCGCTGAGCTACATCTCTAGCCCTGAGAAATATTTTAAAACTAAAATATCCCAAAATACAGCAAATACACTTGAACAATAGGAAGACATAAAGATTCAACATTACAATATCAGTTCTCCTTTAAGTTAATTTATATATCTAATATCACTCCAATAAAAATAACCTCTTAGTTCAATCCCCGGTACCAAAAAAGAAAAAAAGTAACCTCGTGGGGGACCGGGGATTTACCTCAGTGGTTCCACCGCCTGCCTTGCAAGCGCAAGGTCCCAACTTCGATCCCTGGTAACCCCCCCCCCCAAAAAAAGTAAACCTCTTTATGTAGGAAGTGGTAGGGGTAGGCAATATGATAATAAAATATACTGAGAAGCACAACCAAGTGAAAGAAGCCATGAAAATCCTAAAACAATAGGAAAATAAGAAGGGGCTAGACAGAGAAGATACACCATCAATTTCTAACTTTTTAGGGGCCTCTCAGGGGAATTACAAAGCAGGCAAGGTATACAGCAGGAAACTACAGCTTTGAACTCAAAATTCTCTCAACAGTGTCACATGTGTCCAACCCCACTGCCACCTCCCCAGTGTCAAAGATGCCCGTCTTCAGCTGCATCACTCCCCTTCTCTGCCTCTATTCTAGCTTTCTTTCTGATTCCCAAAAACGGCAAACTCCTCATCACCTGAAGACTTCTGCGTGTGTCTCTCTTCTTGCATTATCCCTCACACCCTTCCCCTGGCTAACCTCAACTCCTCCTCTGGGTTGCAGCTTAAATGTTGCTACCTCTGACATGCTTTCCTTGACCCCTTAATCTGAAGTGAGCCCCTCATTATTCTGTCTCATTTCCCTGTTATCCCTCTTGCAATTTGAAATTATGTATGTATTTATTTATGTGCTTATTTATTAAACCTCTTTCTCCCTCACTGGACTTTAAGCTCCATAAAGGTAGGGACAGGGACTATTTTCTTCACCACGATATACCCAGAACCCACGGTGAACCTAGCAAACAGTAAATATTCAAAACATATTTGTTGAAGGCATGAGTGCATAAATGGAGAGTTAGATCACGAAGACCCTGTAAGAAGAGGAATCTCCTTCAAATACCTCTCTACCAGAACCAGAATAAAACAGAATCTGTTTCCAACAGGAGATGGCCATCCCATGTGTGTACAGAGCACACAAGAAGCAGTGGCGGGGAAATGTGTGCTGCCCTCCACAGACATCAAGATTCTATTTTGATCTTTCTTTGCAGATTCTTGGGACTGTAATAAAGGATATCACAACTGACAATGAAGGTGGGACTCACCCAGTAGCTTTCAAATCTGTCTACAAAGATATACCAACACTGCCCTTCTGGCATCCTCCTTTGCCTGACTAGGCCACATCCCACAAATCATCATGGTTTGGGTACTCTTTTTTTTTTTTTTTTAAGTTCTCAGACTATAGCAGGCACTTGATTATTGTTTCCCAAAGTAAAGTAAAACCATCAAGATGTGTGCATATCTGAAAAAGAAACAAGCAGACCAATCAGACCATGGGGTTGGGAGGCAGTTTCTCACCCAGCTTCTGATTAGGGACTGGGACCACACAGCGCTTCTTACAGCCAAATGTGCAGCACTTCTTTACACCTGGGCATGTCTCATCATTGGTGCACCTTTTAAAACAGGATTGTTCTGGACAACCCTGGGACAATCTCCTTTCCTCCCTGTAACAAAAACAGAGACAGCAACAGATAGGAGACTACGGTGCCTGGAGACACTCAAAGGCACAGCAGAAGGGACAGTCAGAGGAAGGAAGCCCCAGGTTTCATTTAAGCCTCTCATCCCTGGTGCTAAAGCAGAGAGACTTTAACAACAGCAACAACAATAGCAATAATGAACACTTACCATAGCGTTTATATGTACCTTTTGCCAGGAACATCTCAGTTTATAGATTTACAACCCTATTTTACAGATGAGGAAGTGGGGCTGAAAGCTTAAGATTTGGCTGGGGAATAGTTGAGTGTACAGCATGTGCTTTGCATGCAAAACGCCCTGATCTGATCCCCAGCAACACATAAAAAAGGAAAAGAAAGAAAAGGAATGAAAGAAAAAAAAAAAAACTTTTAAGATTTAAAAAGAGCTGTTGTTTGAGGTTTAAGGATTAAGAAGGTCTGCCTGATCCTAGGGCCCATTCTTTTAATCACAGGCTTTCCTCCACAATTCTGCCCTCCTTTGGACACACAGGAACTCCGAGTTCAAAGTAAAATACATCAGTAATCCTGGTACACTCCTTCCTGATAGAAGGCAAAGAACGGAGGGTGCTGAATAGAGACCCCCAAAGTGAAGAGTAAATGTAGAGAAGCTAGATTTTGAGAGCCAATCTGAGATAGGATCCCCTCTGGTTCTATCCATCCCAGAAGCAAGGCCAGAGAACCCAGGGGATTTTGGCCCTCCTGCCAACGTACCCTCAGGAATGCCTCCTCGGCAGACCCAACCACAGCCTGTGCTGCAGCACTTCTGCCCAGCTGGGCATGATTCATCACCTTGGCATAGCTCTTTGCATGGGTTCTTATCAAGAGGACATTCTCCTTCTTTCACTGCAAAAGATACCATGGGAGGTTAGGGTAACCAATGAGGCCTTCAGAAATGGGGAATAGGGCCAGGGATTTAGCTCAGTGGTTCTGGCGCCCGCCTCACAAGCATAAGGTCCGGAGTTTGATCCCTGGTACCAAAAAAAAAAAAGAAATGGGGAATAGAGGTCAAATATACCTCAACATTTCCAAGCGTTCCTACATCAAAATATCACTGCAACTGCCTTCTCCTCCTACCATACAACTGGTAACGCCCATCCCCCACCACTAAAGAAGCAGCCACGCTGCAGATACAGAAAGGAGGACTGTTCTCATTCAATGAGCACTACAAAATAACTGGAGCTATTCTACTAATAGCTCTACTACAGGACTCTACTAAGTCCTCTCTCCTTATCCCAAGAGAATAAAGAAAACCAAGAAGACTTACCCTGGCTGTCCTGAGAATCTATTCATCAGTCCTGTCTTACAGAGATGATCATCTCAACAAATGAGGACCCTCATTCTAAGAGAAGGCAGGAGATGACTCTTCCCCAGTCACTTTCTGTTACTGTTAGCCAGGGATCCCAAGTGATAGCTCACCATGCTTGCCTGCAGTCACCCAGGATGCCAGAGACCCAAGAGCAACAAGTGCCTTCAGAAGGAAGAAGCTGCTTGACATCCCGATGATGCTGAGAACTGAGATAAGATCTCAGTTCAGGCCAGAGATGGACCCTTGCCCAGAGTATCAACTGAGGAAAGAGTAGGACTAGGGAATTGCCCCAAGTCCAATCCCAAAGTCTTCCCTTATGCAATAGTCCTCAGGAATGTCTCCTCCTGTCAAGAAGAAGACTGATTGGTTGCTCTTGTGTGGGAAGATTCCTGGCACTACCGGACGGCACATGTAATGGGGGTGATGGAACTCTGAATGCAATACACACAACACCCTGGACAATGACAAGGATCCTAGTGGGAAGCTGGAAAAATGGAGGGATAGCTATCAGATAAAGGATTAAAGGGAACCCTAGAAGGGCTTGGGATGATTCCACTGCAGCTGAAAAGACAGAGGAAAGGACTAGAGAGATACAATAAGAAAATGACCAAGCTAATAAAATAACCTAAGCATAACAACATTGTGGCTCTTGCTCCACCTAACAACCTAGAAAAGACACAATGGAACAGACTAATAGAAACTATTAGAAAACTACAGAAAAGCAGCTTTTAGTTTACTCAGAATTGGCCTGGGGATTTAGCTCAGTGGTTCCAGCGCCTGCCTCGCAAGCACAAGGTCCCGAGTTCGATCTCCGGCACAAAAAAAAGAAAAAAAAAATAAGCATTAGTTTACTCAGAATACAAAGTGATCTACATCTTGGTGTTTTTAGACCACACAGGCCATTCTTGGACCAAATAAAAACTAACTGGCGAAAATTCCCTTGTCCATATATGCCCCCTTTCTTTATTTTTCCTCCCTTTATCTCTCTTTATCTGTCTTGTTCATGTCTTTGGTTAGCTCTGATACCTAATGGTGTGCACTGGCACTGCTTAGCCCTGCAGGGTTAGAGAGCAGGGTCAAACCAAGGCACAAGGTAAAAATCTCCTTAATACTAAGTTTGGTGCAAGGAAGCTGCTCTTAGTAAGGCTTACATTGGAGCATGGATATAATTAACATTTGTTTGTTACCTAATATGTGCTTTAAGATACTATTCGATCCACAGTATCAAAAAAAAAAAGAAGAAGAAGAAGAAGATACTATGTATTTTAATCCACAAAATAATCTCCCAGAGACAAGAAGATTGATTCAGAGAAGCTGAAAACTGCCCATAAGCATTGGCGGCTGGAATGCCATAGTATTAACAACAGAGAGCATTGTTTGAAGGTTTATTTTTGCCCTGATTTTAAGTGCTTTACATTAATTAGCTCAATCCTCACTACACCCTTATAAAGCCAGGTGCTTTTATTCCCATTTTGCAGTTGAGAAAACAAGCATAGAAAATTTAAGAAATGTGGGTCACACAACTATTAAGTGGTCCAATTCCATGGTCAATATTCTTAACCATCATTCCATTGGATTTGAACCCGTAACTTTCCAACTACAAAATTCTTGACTTTCTACTACACAATATCATGACCTGGAAAGAATAACTTCCTCTAGCATTCATAAATGAATCCAATTCTATTCTGAGGCACCTTGCCTCTGAAGATAGAAACAAAAGGATCTCTGGAAGAACGCGACAGCTGTTAAGCCACTCGCCCCCAGACCATCACAAAATCACCCATCTAGGGAGAGAAGCACCGCTCGCTGGGGCAGAAGTACCCTGGCCAAGACCCAACCTTCATTCTGATGCCTTCAGACACAAAAGGCAGGCCCTGAGGTCAAAAACTGGAGAATCTCGGTGAGTGTTTGGGATGGCACAGAGTACATCTCGCCTTGTTGGGTTTCCCGGTCCCCGCATTAGGCTTCCTCCAATTCTGGGGCTTGCGCCAGGCATATTAGAAACTGCAGTTTTCAAAAACTCAACTGCAGGCGCTCCCCTCTTCGGCCAACCCTCCAGCCCGTGGAAACCCGCTCCGCTCTTGTTATCCCGCACTCATCCCCAAGCCTTGGCCTAAGTGGGAATCGTCCTTGACTGAACGGCCCCTCAACATCCACATTACAACCTGAGACACAGTCATCCAGCAAGGTAGGAAGCTCCAACCACCTCTAAAAGCCCGGGAACCGGGCCACGGGAGGTTGCTTGGTTACCGTGGTAACCGCGCAGCTCTTCTCGCAGCATTTCCGGCCCGCGCGCGGCGCGCACTCGTGACGTCACGGCGCCACTTTCCGGCCGGTGACAGTGTCGGGTTGAAGTTGTCGGGGTCCGAGGCGCCATGGGGGCTACGGGCGATGCCGAACAGCCGCGGGGACATGGCGGGGCAGAACGGGGCGGCCCCGAGCTGGGGGATGCAGGCGCGGCTGGGCAGCTGGTTCTGACGGTGAGGGCTCCCCCAGTGAAGCCCGGGCTCAGGCTGGACAGGGCCTAGGGCTCCCGGGACCCTGGCCCGCAGGCGAGAGAATGCGGCGACTGGGGCTGCCTAGGACTCGCCGTTTTCGCTGTCCGACGACCTGGGTTCAAATTCTAGTGCCGCCCTCCTAGCTAGTGACTTGGGCCTGGCAGACATCCCCGAGTTCCAGGTTTTTCTTCTTTAAAAATGGAGATGATTAGGACCAACCTCATAAAGTTGTTGTGGGGATGGGATGATAAAGGCGGGTAAAGTGCCGGCACCTCACCCGCTACAGAGCGGACCCTGGGTAAACACTGATTCCCTTCCTGCTTCCGTTCTAAAAAAGGCGCGGTTGGGACTTTAAAAGCAGGGAACTTTTCCTCAGTTCCTCTTCCTCGGCAGTGCCTTCTAAACATCATTCTCCCCCTTTCCTCAAGGTGGGAGCGGTGGTAAAAGAATATGAAGAGCAGCGATGTCTAGGGTTAACTTCCTATTCCTTCTCCATCCTATCCCAATGTCACGGGGATCATTGACATTTGCTCCCTTCATCCTCACAGAACCCTTGGAACATAATGATAAAGCACCGGCAGGTGCAGCGAAGGGGCCGCCGCTCCCAGATGACTACGAGGTAAGGCTGACCCTGGGTGCGCTTATATCCCAGGCACTGACTTGAACCCCACTGCACAAGGCTGAGAAGAGACCTACAACCAGTACAAATGGCACTGGACTGGGAAAGAGGAGACTCCAATTCTATGTGTGACCTTGAGCAAGTCACTTACCCCTCTGAACTCATCTAAAAAATTGGGAGGTGACTTAACACTATCTTAAGATTCCTTAGAATGGGTCGGGGATTTAGCTTAGTGGTTTCATCGCCTACTGCACAAGCACAAGGACCCGAGTTCGATCCCCGGTACAAAAAAAAAAAAAGATTCCTTAGATTGACTGATCAACTCTGAGGTTGACCTCTAAGAAATCAAAGAGCATGGAAGTTTAGAGCACAGGCTCTGGAGTCAGACAACTGTGTTGTAATGCAGACTGACATTTATTAACTGGGTAACCTTGGACAAGCCACTTAACCTTCTTGGGTCTGTTTTCTGACTGTAAAGTGGGGCTACAAATAGTATCTAGCCCACAGAAGGGAGAGAGCACAAAATGGGCCTTTGGAGGCTGGTTTGGTTTTTTTTGTTGTTTTTTAAATATTCAGTTATGAGAATGGAATTTTATGTATTTGCCCAGAATCTTAGCACATAGCTATGTCCAGTGAAAGCTCTCTAGTATTGCTGTTAAAGGATCCTTATCGATAATTTGCTGGGCAGATTGGGAAAGGATATGGTTGGGACACATCCTCTGATTCTGTGTCCCTCCTGAATGCAGTTTTACAGATCCTGCCATCTCCATGGATCTACTCCGAGCTGTCCTGCAGCCTAGCATCAATGAGGAGATCCAGACTGTCTTTAACAAGTACATGAAGGTGAGAGAGACAAAAGGATTAAAAACTTAACAGAGGGCCGGGGATTTAGCTCAGTGGTTCTATTGCCTGCCTCGAAAGCGCAAGGTCCTGAGTTCGATCCCTGGTACCAAAAAACAAAATCTTAACAGAGAGGGGCTAGAGATTTAGTTCAGTGGCACCGTGCCTGCCTTGCAAGCTCAAGGTCCTGAGTTCAATCCCCAGTACTTCAAAAAAAAAAGAAATTAACAGAGAGAAAGATTCGTGGGCAGCCCAGTTTCTCCCTGTACCATAATATATATGGTACACACAGGTATCTCAAGTTTTCCAATTCTGAGCCCTCCCTTCAAGAACTTTTTCCCTCTTTTAGGGTAATTCCAGTATCATTTTGCCAGTCTTTTGTGAGGATGAAATGACTTATGTAATGTGCTCAGCAATCTTGCTTAAAATGTATGAGTCCAACCAGTGTACTTATTATTTTTTTAATATCAACATTTTTGTTATTTAAAATTGCCCTATAAGCAAACTTCTACCTGGCTGTACCTGAATGTCCCCTGGATGCGTCACTGAATATTTAGAACTGAACTCTGTTTTCTTCCCAAACCTCCCGCTCTTGTATTTTTCCTTTGTTCAATAAGTATTTATCCCCTTTGATTTGATATAAGGGATACAGAAGCAAGCAGGGGAGATCAGGAGTTCAGTTTTGTTTGTTTGTTTTTGGTACTGGGGATCAAACTCGGGTCCTTGCACTTTCGAGGCAGGCAGCGGAACCACTGAGCTAAATACCCAGCTCAGGAGCTCAGTTTTGGACCATCATTCTCTTAGAAACCAGGGACTCTGCCTTCTCCTATGTCTTCTATATGTATACAGTGGTTTAATCCTGTATGTTCCGTGCCCCAGTCTATCAAACATGCACTTCTTCCTTCCTCTGCCTTGATTCAGGCCTTTATTATTTCTCACTCTAGTTTCTCCTGTAATCTATAAATGCCTCTATTCTTTCCTTCTTTCAGCCCTGCCCTCTATACAGCTGCTAGGGTGATCTCTTAAAATGTAAATAAATCCAGTGATGCCACTTCCCTATTTAATAATTCCTTAGCAGCTTCCTGTTGTCTTCTAGGTAAACCCAGACACCTTAATATGACACTGCCTTAACATTCCACTGTGATGAGAGTCCAGCTACATTCCCTTCTATACCTTAGTTGTTACTTATCCCTAATTTTTTCAAGTCCCAGAATGTATTATACTTGCTAATCCTTGTACACCTTTATATATAAAGAGATAGAGGTCAAGCCATTCAGAGAAAAAGTAAGCCAGGAATCAATCTAAGATTATCTGCTTCCAAAACCCTTTCTTTACTTGTTGCTTGTTAATTCCAGTTACCAGGAAGCTGGATGGCACACACTTGTAATCTCAGCACTCAGGAGATGACACAGGAGAATTACTATGAGATGGAAGCCAGCCTGAGCTACTTAGTGAGTTCAAGGCCAGTCTGGAATACATAGCAAGATCCTATCTCAAAACAAAAAATTGCAGTTATGAGATTCAAGAAATCTCTGGCCCTGTGGTCCTGTCTCACATAGCTTATAATGTACTTCTTATCACATTTGTTTTCCAGTGAGGTACAAACAACTTCATTGCCTCACAGTTTTGGATAAATATACTCTTGATTGACCCCATCTAATCACTGATAATGTTCCCAAATCTCAGCTGCCAATGTCTTTAAACTTTTTAGGATAACTTTTAGCTATGGCTGATCTTATCCAAGGCATTGTCAATCCTTCCCGATTTATGTTATTACTAAATCCATGCCCCTTTTTAAAAAAATATTTTAATAATATAGACTATGAGAAATAAAATAAATCACCCAGGCATGATAGTGCATGCTTGTAATCCCAGCACTTGGGAGGCTGAGGCAGGAGTATCACCACAAGTTCGAGGGTAGCCTAGGCTAGTGAGTTCAAGGCCAGTCTGAATGACATAGGCCCTGTCTCAACCAGAAGAAAGAGAAATAATATATATATATCGTAAAACAGATCGATGGAAAGATGAATAAATGAAGAGATATGTGATAAAGCAAATATAGTAAACTGTTAATTATAGACTCTAGGTGATGAGTATTAGATGTTTATTGAACAATTCCATTTTCCTATGTGTTTGAAATTTTTAATAAAATCTTGGTTATTAGGTAGACTAAGGCAGGAGAAGAACAAGTCCAGACCAGACTGGCCAGCTTAGCCAGACCCTGTCTCAAAATTTAAAAATAAATAAAAAGTTTAGGAATATATCTCAGTGGTAGAGCACTTCCCTAGCATGTGTAAGACCCTGAGTTCAATCCCCAGTACCACAAAATATACACACCACAAAAGAAGTTATTGGTTAAAAAAATACAGATACTGTTTTAAATAAAGGCCAAAAGTCAATGAAACTTACCTCCCAGAGATATCAAACTGTTAACAATAACTATATAGGGGCCGGGGATTTAGCTCAGTGGTTTCGCCGCCTGCTGCACAAACGCAAGGACCCTCTCAGCTTTGTTTATGTATATATGTGCATGTGTTTATGTCTTTTTAAAAAAAGATTACACACTTTATTCTGCAGCTTATTTCATCTAATTTTTTTGTTTGTTTGTTTGTTCTGGGGATTGAACTTGGAACCTTGTGTTGCCGAGGCAGGCACCGGAACCACTGAACTAAATACCCAGCCCTTTCACCTAATATTTTGTAGGAATCTTTTGGGGGGGGGGGGGCGCTGGGGATAAACTCGGGACCTTGCGCTTTCGAGGCTGGCGGCAGAACCACTGAGCTACATCCCTGGCCCTCACCTAATATTTTGACCATGTTTTTATGTCATTATGTAATAGCTTCAAAGTTGGAAAGTAGTCTGTTTTAATTCTTTTTGGTACTGGGGATCGAACTCGGGAACTTGCACTTGTGAGGCAGGCAGCAGAACTACTGAGCTAAATCCCCGCCCTAGTCGTTTTATAGATGTACCAAATATAACTATCTAATCCCTAGAAAATTCAGATTGTTTCCAGTGTTTCTTTTATTACAAACAATATTACAACACTGTGATATATATGTCTTTGTTCAATTATCAGAGTAATTCTGGGGAATAAATTCCTAAAGATGGAATTAGTGGATATAAGGGAAAGAAAAAATTGCTTTCCGGAAAAGTTGTGCCAATTTATGTTTCTACCAGCAGTGTTTCAGAATGCCTCACTAAT